CGATTAAAATCTTATCTGAGTTAGAAAATTGGTATTAAACTTATTAATTTCTTAGGTAATATTGCAGGATTTTCTATTAATATTCATAAACACATAACATTACACCTTTTATCCCCGAAGGGGTAGGCAAAGGTGTACATTATGCCACTGTACAATGTAACACCCACTTTTCACTATTTATGTTATGAGTCCCATGTAATAGGGGGTGAGCCTATTGCCATATACCGGGCACGATTCCAGACTCCGTGCTACTACTGGGAATTTTTTGAAAAAAAGAATCTATTCTATATTCTATTAATATTCGTATGATATTTTATAGATATTATTTTGAATTATTGTGAAACCGATGTGGTGACTACCATTTTCCAAAATTCTGTCACTAAAACTCACTATATCATTTCCTATGAAACCTAATTACCATAACTGCCGTTCCCTCTAACAAAACACAAGCTTGATATTAATGTCTACAGATCTTGCTTGCAATTAATTAGTCCTGATAATAATCACAATACCGAATAAATTACCATGACGGCGTTAACAATAAAGGGTCAGTAGGGTTGTGTCTATTTACGTTTATGTCTTTATGTAGGGACGTAGCTTTCGGGATTTCTGTGATAGTGTTTGTGATGTTATTGGGTAGTGTTTCGCTTGATATATATAAAAGAGATAAGTACAAAGAGGACATAGGACACCAGCTTCTTTGCTAGCTATTTTATCGGGACTCTATTGATCTGGGTATGTCCTAAAGTTACTAAAACATAGATAGCGGTATCCTCTAAACTTTAAGTGATCTAACTGCGTTTCCCAAGAAAGTAGGGATTTTTTTTAATATGACGAGCCTGCCACAACCTCTCAAAACCGCTGTAACTCCTGGAAGCCAGAATCTACAATAGATACAACCATGAAAACACCGGAACACTGAAGTCCGGAGCGTCCCAGGGACATGAAGAACTGTCGTGGAAGTCTTCTGTGGAGAAGAGAAGCAGCAAAGTGGGGATAGCAAATCTTTTCAAGTAAAGGATGTCTTTGTTTAGCAGTGGACGTATATATTTCAGTTTGTGAACATAGGAATGATGAGCAGGCCCCATGTAATATTTACACACACCGATACATATTACTAGAATTTAACTGCATACTGACTATTTTCCTTGTAGAAAAACTTAACTAGAGTGTAACGTTGAACCCAGAACTTACGGCTCAGTATCGTGCGATATTGAAATTAATTGCCGCTGTCATGTAAGAATGACGTCACAAAGACATCTAATAAAAATAATGTGAAGCTCATAAGACCATGTAAGTAATATTTATGTGGCACGAACCCTTTCCCATCCACTCCGTAATTACTCTAGATAATTATATAATAATCGTACAAGTTAATCATAATTAATATAAATCTCATAATAACGACACATAGATATATATTAATATAATAAATCACGAACATTAGTCTTCAAATTAACGCTCAGAAGGTGATTACATACAATTAATTACTTCACAGGTTGTTCACACAAATAGCACGTCCTACCCTATCACATGGCCAAAGGATTTTGACACTTATTACGACGTGGGTACGGTCAGATTCGACTACATATCAATCACGATCAGCATTGCTGACATGGTGACATTTAGATAGTGAATGGAATTAGAGACTTTGTTTTGTTAGTGATAAAGCGTTATTTCGATTGATTGGTTGCAGGTGTTTGGAACGATTGGACTTAATATGGCGTTGAGTTGCGAATAGTTGGCTGTCGTACAAATTGTTAGATGGATTGTTCTAATTTAAGTGGTTTACACACTCTTTGAGTTGTTTTACTGAATGCAGTATTGAAATTTAAAAGTGAGGGGTAAATAATAAGTCCTCTGATGTTACGTGCCCATGGCTAACGGGGTTTGGTCCTAACTTCATTCACATTGTGATCGTAGTAATACTTCATTCTAGTCAGTTCATTCGAAGTATGGTTCTCCAACGTGAAATAAAAACGTGACGTCATTGACCGATAGGGTAGACGACTTTTTTTATTTTAATGTCCGTCGGGTAGATTATTTAAAAACATTAGACACGTATTTCTTATTTTTTTTACGAAAACGAATAGTTTATATATTGATTTGAAATATCGCGTGACGGCACTTCTATGTACATTTTATACTAAGAAATGAAGTTTTAGCCCCTACTCCTAAACTTTGATTCGTTTTATCTAAGTATTGTTTTATTGTGCGACAAAATAAAATAATATGTGTCATATATTTTATAATTACCTAACTTACGGACTAATTACATTTTTAATTTTCATACCCTGTCATCATCCCCATTGTTAAAAAAAGCAACCTACCTACCTACTTACAACACTATAATTTTAGGAACAGAAAAGTAATTTAGTTTTTTTTCAATACTTAAGGTGAAAAGAACATAACATAACATCACGCCTTTTATCCCCGAAGGGGTAAGCAGAGGTGCACATTACGGCACTTAATGCCACTGTACAATGTAATACCCACTTTTCACTATTTATGTTATGAGTACCATGTAATAGGTGGTGAGCCTATTGCCATATACCGGGCACAATTCCAAACTCCGTGCTACCACTGAGAATTTTTAAAACCCAGTGATACTTTGCCCGACCCGGGTATCGAACACGAGACCCCTTGAGCGGCAGTCGCACTTGCGACCACTCGGCCAACGAGCAGGTGAAAAGAAACGTAATCTACATGTATATGAGGTCAGAACATAGCAATATTCATATACAAGTCTTAATTTCGACATATACAAGATAAATTCAAGATATTATTTAGTAACTCGAATTAATCATTCCAGATTCATGATTCGTTTGATCTTAAGTAATTTTGGTCAAGACTCACTTTTGCCAAAAGAAAATTAGTCTTACGCTCGACAAGTCACAAGAGTCAAACCCGCACTTAAATCGAGATGACACAAGTTCGATTTACAGAGCGGATAAACAAAAATAATTGGATTTTTTCTTTCTCAATTTATAGATTGGAATTGGAATTTGTCAGCCTTTCTCCCATGGGGTTGGTGTGTAGATAAATAAATGTAGTGAGAGAACTGTCTTGGTAGACCTTGATAGGAGGTCATTGTTTATAGTATAATCAGACGTTGTTCTTCGAGTTAGAAAGATAGATATATTAAAGTCGTAGAAAAGTGCAAACTGCATATTGAATATTTTTTCACATCTGCAATCGATACCGAAGCCAAAAATATGGTTTATACAATTATTGTCTGTTTGTCTGTATGTATGTCCGGGATGATCTTTAAAATTTTTGCATGGATTTACTTTAAATTTTGCATGAATATTACTAACAGGTCGGGCCAACATATAGGCTACATATTGACACACTATCACCTACGGAGGAGGAGCTGTGTATCACTATTCCACGCGAACGAAGTCGCGGGCAACAGCTAGTTCGATATATTCTTACTTTCGTGAGATATATTTAATTAATTATTATGTTTTTCGACTTACTCACGTAATTATTTGACGAGGAACTCGACTAGTTTCAAGCCATGCTAGAGGCTCATATTCATGAGCTTTGGCAAAAAAGGGTTAATGATCACGCTTAATCTCAAAATATAATCCGGTTTGATTCCCACACGAAGTAACTCTTTGTGTGATCTACAAATTATTGTTTCGGGTCTGGGTGTCATTTGTATGTGAACTTGTATGTTTGTAAACGCACCCATGACACAGGAGAAAATCCTAGAGTGGGGCGAAGATTTGTTTTTTTCAAACACGTACTATGTTGGGCCCCCATTGTCCTAAGTCTAATCGGATTGTCATGATCGTCAGGCTTGACAAATGAGTTGGAGATCACAACTAAGTCTGCGTCTTTTTGAAATATCATTGTGTAGTTTCTGAATCAGTTCTCCTGACATCTGCTTAAATAGTAGTGGTGTATGTTGTACGTTTGTAGGTAGATAAAGACGTATTTTGGTTAAACGAATGAAAGATTTTCTAAGAAAAAATCCTACATTCTACAAGGCAATATCACCCTTATATCATTCTAGCTAAAATTCCCAGAAAATACCGTAAAACCTAGAGACTCAAGAAAAGATTCATTCTAGACAAGAGAATATATAGTATAATATATAAAATACTTTGAATATTGCTCATTCTGACAGTGCTCGTCTTATCGTATGAAGACACGCCTGAATTTCAGCGATTTCAAGATGTCTGGCACTCTGGCCCATCGCCCGATATTTTCTTGGCAGACTCGAGTCTTTACTTAGCAAAACTCTAGTTTTGTGTGTGTTGCGTTCTGAATGTTTAATATGTAAGTGGTTTATTTGAAGTTGTTTAGGCGGTTCTAGTAGGTATTGTTGTTTGAATATTTATTTATCGTAATAAGTATTTTTTTTTTATTTATTCTTTTATGTACACAATTTTACTATGGCACATAAGGCGAACTTAATGCCATATGGCATTCTCTACCAGTCAACCTTAGGGTTTAAGTTGAAAATCAGCGAAAAAGAAGGTACGGAGAATAAACGAACAGCAAAGAGTGTGAGAGAGAATAAAAAAGAAGAAAAAAAAGAAAATATTAAATAATATAGCCATACATATATCTTGTATTGTTTTTTTTTGTATTTTTTTTTTGTTTATTAAGTATTTCTTTTATTTATTTGTTACAAATGTACCTAGGTAATAAGCTCACTTGTTATTACGTGATGAGGCTCCCGCTATACTAAATTTTAAACTTTTTTTATACCACGACGGTGGCGAAAAAGCACACGGCCCACCTGATGGTAAGCGGTTACCGTGGCCTATGAACGCTTGCAATACATTTAGGTACTCCTTTCTGCAGCTGCATGAGCACCACTTATATATTCGTATTTTATAAATTCTTGCCTTTCAGCGTGCGACCGGCCCTCAGTAAAGTGAACCAAAAACAAATACTTGATCGGATACTAGGAATTGTATATAAAGTTTATCGCTCTTTGATAAAAACAAAATGAAACTTTAAACAATGCTTTTAAAGAAATATACCTGAATATCGTCGTAACGCTGATGCTTGAAGATTTGAAGCTAACCACAAACAATGTCACACCATTAAACCCCAAGTACCTGTAAATAAAGAGAGTGACATTGAGTAAAGTTGAGCAGAAATTTTTATTTAGATAGTTTTTGATTTTGGTCCTAGCTTTTAAGTACAACTTTATCTCTTAAGATTTTTTTATGGGATCGGCCGGTAAACGAGCAGACGGGTCACCTAATGGTAAGCAATCAACGTCGCCCACGGAACCCGCCCTCCGTGCCTGCCCCGGAACACTAAAGGCGTGCTACAAATGCATTATCGGCACCTATTGGGAATTAGGAATTTGAGGATTGTTGGAGATTCAGGTATCGATGAGAATGGGGGGGGGGGGGGCTCGAGGCCGTGGTATCACTCCGGTCGAGCCGGCGCATTCGTGCCGAAGCATGGCTCTCCTACACTAAAATTTATTACATAGTTTGAATCCTGTATAAAGGTACATTTTTTATTTATTCATATTTTTCAGCCATGATCATTCTACTGCAGGGCAAAGGCATTCCTATCCTCATTCCACTACTCTCTGTGCATAGCTTTCTATGGCCATTCCTTGTCTTAGGTGTCAAGTTCGTCCCACCATCTCCTTCCGGGCCTGACACGACATCTATTAACGATGAGTGGGATCCACTCAGTTGTGAGTTTTGGTCACGGCTCGTAAAGGTATGTGAATAAAAAATATCATCCATATGATATACATTGATACATAGATCACTCCTATACCAAAAAGGTTGTTTATAATTAACTAGCTTTTACCCGCGGCTTCGCTCGCGTCACAAAAGGATAAAAGTAGCCCATGTGACATATACCAACATACACAGCGCCATCTATACCAATTCTTTTGTTTTCCCTCGAGAATATCAAAATTTTCCGGGATAAAAAGTACCCTATTATTTATTCTCGACTTCTAACTTTACGCCTGCAAAAATTCAAAGCAATCGGTTTAAAAGTTACGGCGTGAAAGTGAACAAACAAACAAACTCACTTTCCTATTTATAATAGTAAGGATGTTTAACATGATTTACACTAGATCATTAGAGCCATCACATTGTACAGTCAAAATCTGAAATCAAACTGACTACGAAACAAAAATCTTTAGTAATCGTACCACAAAACAAAAGCTATTTCTGTTTACTATTATTAATTCCAACAATATTTCATGAATACAACTTCGATTCTTTATCTTTATAATAATAGTTTACGTTGAGCGTCCTTCGAGCCAGTAGCTAATTACATTGGTGACGTCATGAAGTCAGTGAGCTGTGACGTCAGATAGCGTGTTAGGCCAAGTATGGGTATTTAGGGAACAGTGAGTAAAGTTGTCTAAGATCGCAAAAGGAGGATCATAGGAGGAGAAGGAAATTATGTTTTAAAGCAAAATTTTTTTATTTTACATAACATTATATAACATCACGCCCTTTCCCCCGAACGGGTAGGCAGAGGTGCATATTACGGCACTTAATGCCACTGTACAATGTAACATCCACTTTTCACTATTTATGTTATGAGCCCTATGTAATAGGGAGTGAGCCTTTTGCCATATACCGGGCACAATAATTCTAGAATTGTTTTAAAAACTCAGTAATACATTGTCCGACCCGGGAATCGAACCAAAGACGACCCCATGCCCAGCAGTCGCAATTGCAGCCACTCGGCCAACGAGGCAGTCAATCTCTTTATTTAACTAGATACTATTTTTCTTAGTTTTTTTTTTTATTTTGCTTTTTTATGTTTTTTGCCTTCATTGTTGTTTTATTTTTTACTGCTGTTTTTTGTATGTTATTATTGTTTTGTTCTTATTGTTTTTTATTTTATTTTATTTTTTTTTTTGTTTTTCAATGTTATTTTTTATTATTTTGTGTGTTATTCGGTGGTCCATGTCGGTGGCGAATAAATTATTTTTCTTTCTTTCTTTCTTTCTTTCTTTCTTTCTTTCTTTCTTTCTTTCTTTCTTTCTTTCTTTCTTTCTTTCTTTCTTTCTTTCTTTCTTTCTTTCTTAGTATTAGTAGAAGCTGAACGAGTTCAATCCCTGGACTCAAGTTCATTACGTACAGTGAGATGACAAGCTAAAGCTACAAAATACTGTATTCTAGACATTTACCTACCTACAAACGACTAACAGTAGTAAAGTTCTAGTTTAAAAGAAAAAGAAAGATAATACAAGAAAAATGTGGTATATAGTACTAGCATCTTTACTGTTTTTTTATCAAAAAATGTTTATGGTAAACGTCAATGTCTGTGTGTATAGATGAATGCATTTATTTTTCGTTGAATGGACTGAGATGGAGTTGTGTCAATATGCATGCTTAAGCAAATAATTCATATAAATATCCTTTAGCAATTACTTGCAGATAATTTATCAGTCTTAAGTAAAATGGAAGACTATATTTCGAAACTTAAATTAATAAATAAAAAAAGTGTATGATACATTTTTTCTTTTCAGTCTAGTTCAACAGATAGTAAAAGATTTATTGCATACGATAAAATGTTATTGAGCTTCATTATACATGTGTATAACATAGTCAGTAAACCAGAATATGTTCACCTCTTAAAACAATCCTAACTTTAACATCAGAATCTTTCCTTCAATTCCCCAAAAAAAATCAAATACACGCTTAGGAACAATGCATAAGATGACTACTTACGCACCTATTATAAGTACATTTATGTACACCCCCTATTACATGGGACTCCTAACATAAATAGTGAAAAATGGGTGTTACATTGTACAGTGGCATAATGTGCACCACTGCCTACCCCTTCGGGATAAAAGGCGTGATGTTATGTTATTTATGTACACCTGTATAATAATTATAACAATCCTCCATGCCGGTTTCGGCTACGGGCACCGTTTTATGACTACTGGCGTCTATCATGTGGCTGGAAAATCCATCTTTGTTTATAAATATTCTTCCATTTTTTCGCTACTTATAGTACAAAACAGTTGACGATTTTATCATTCACCGGCCGCTAAACCAGACAAACACATTTGCATCTATATATATCAAAGAAAGTAGTTTTAGTTACTCTATTTATAACTCAATAACGGCTAAAGCGATTTTAATGAAAATTGGTAGAAAGGTAGAACTAGGAGACGGACATAGGAAACGTTTTATCCAATACTTTTTTTTTACTTTTTTTAAACATCACAATTGGGAACGGAAAAAACGGGATTGCGCGTACGAAGTCGCGGGCAGAAGCTATTTTATTATAATAGTAAGGATTGCTAACTTTTTAAACGACCCACAGGATGTGTCAAGATGTCTAAAAAGCGAACTAGTAAATCAATAAGGCAGGAATGTCTGTTCATACAAAATCTTATTCCTTCTGAGTAATCTAATATACCGTTGATCGAGTTAGCCGATTTTTTGTCACCCTCTGTTTTTCTTCAGAGTTGCGCATGACATCTTTTTTATATATACAATATATGCGATTGCTGGGCAAGGGGTCTCGGGTTCGATTCCTAGGTCGGGCATTACAGGCTATTTAAAAAAAGTCGTAAAAAAGTAGCACGGGCTTTGGAATTGTGTTCGGTATATGGCAATAGACTCATCCCCTATTACATAAGACTCAACATAAATAGTGAAAAGAGAGTGTTATATTGTGCAGCGGCATTAAGTGCTGTCATGTGCACCTCTGACTACTTCTTCAGGGATAAAAGGCGTGATGTTATAGAACAACGGCGTGATACAAACCTATATAGGTTTATATGTCATATAAATTATTTATTTATTTATTTATTTAACACTTTATGTACAACTGTATACAATGGCAGACTTAATGCCGAATGGCATTCTCTACCAGCCAACCATAGGCAACATATAATATTTATATGTTGCGAAACCCAATATATTATATTAAAATTTAAAAAACTATGGTAAAAACGGACATATACGGAAATAAATGAAGATAAATCAAACTTTCACTCATTTTTACTCTACAAAATCTCTCTTTCCATACAAAATCCACTGGGATAACAAGTAATGTATTCTATGTGAAAATCATCGTTTTATATGTATAGCAACCAGACTTGAGTGGAAATAATTTAAGGTCTTTTAGATATACTGTTACAGAATTGGATCAGGTTGATGTGTGGAGTATGTCGTCAATTTGTTCAGGTGAACGCACCGGTTTGGGAACGGTGTCGTTTTCAAAGATGATGGATAGTTTATGTAGATTGTATACGATGATCTTATAAAATAATGGTGGTCTTGTCCCATTTTGTCTGGATATTTATTTTGATATTTGAATTGAAAGCCGATAAGTGTATGTGTGTTTCTGCGCAGAAATAAATGGTTTCCTTTCTTTCTTCTTTCTTTCTATCATGATCTCGTTTTGATATCGTCAAACGTAAAACGGAATCAAACTAAGCTTTCTCGTCTACTTTACGTCAAAACGTTTTTTTCGCAAATGCACCCATATTCATTACGGATTATCACGGCAATACAAAGCTTGTCAGTCGTCACAGTTGCTACTTAGATTCCCTTTTTTCCTTCTGACCTTGACGCCGTCTTTATTTTATTAGCAATAAAGGCGATTTTCGTAGTGTTATCACGGTAATGGTGTGAGTGTTTCAATTTGTCTTATCATTCTCAGCTGGGTAATATTTGGCCACTTGAAGAATTTGCACTTGACCTCGGTATAATGTGTTGCGGTTGAGTTATTGTTTGTTGGCATTGCAATACTAGTGACGTGTCTGTTTCTTTTGATGTTCGGTTAGTGAATTAGAAACTTCGGTTCTTGAAAATAGAAATAGTTTTCTGAGTACAGAAGATTTTTGTTTTCAATGTCCAAAATTAATTATTATGTTTTCAGCTTACTCGCGTAACTGTTTGACTGTTTGTCAAAGTTAAAGCATTTATTTCAATTAATTCTCAATTAGGCACTTTTAAAACCCCTAAAAATTGAATTGTCCGTCTATCTATCTATCAGTGAAGCTAGGCGCTCGTTCCAAAGTGTAGTCTCGAATGGAGAAGAACGAGTGAGAAACTCCATCGTTACTCTTTTAAAAACGTAGAAGCGAATAAGTCGCAATAAA